TTTTTGTTGACCTTTGTCCATGGAAGGTCCCTGCAAAATTTCATTGAAATTGGTTCAGGGGTTTTGGAGAAGAAGTCGAAAATGTAAATTGTTTACGGACGCACGACGGACGACGGACGACGGACGACGACGGACAAAAGGCGATCGCAATAGGTCACTTGAGACTTTGTCTCAGGTGACCTAAAAAGTTACTGAAAAAGGCCGACTGGTCGATCACAGTAGTCATTCGTACTACTGTTTGTATTCTACCGTAAATAATAGGGTCTATCTTAGCCGAAATACACTACATGTACCAGTAACGTGTCTGTTGTGAAGAACAATATCCTATACATTGTAATTATCCACCACAACACAACTGTCAAAACCGTAACGACAGACAAAATCCGTTCTCGTTCAGTATTACCATTGTTGTCTGCTGCGCCTCCATCATGCCATTAAGCACTTAATGGAGACGGGTCTGGGGCTAATAAGCTGCTAGAAACACACTAACAACAACTAAAAAACCAATCGAAGCTGAACTAAATTCGCCAAGATTCCGTCTCCTAGCTCAGTTAGACTTTCAGTAATACATTATTTTTTTCTGTCAGACTTATTTGCTTGGAAAGTCAATACCTCCTCATTACTTACTGATAAACCTAGTGAACGTATAATGCTGTAAGACAAGGCACACCAAATAGCGTTCAACGATCTAAAGAAAGTTAGCCACTAAAAACTGGGGGGAAAATAATATTGTATTATTTGTTAAAAGAGAACACAAATTTTGAACTGCGAAAGAAGTGTGGCAAGGAACTAACCTTTTTTTAAATGAACAGATATAAAGGAACGCTATTATAAATATAAATGGAAAAAAATAAGAGTAGGACTACAAATAGAGATATCATCAATACAAAATGTACGTAAAGGACTACAAATACAGATATCATCAAAAAGGTGGCAACATTCAAAAATAAATACGTAATGAATGGATTTGATGAATGATTTTTGACGGGTGTACAAAATTATCATTTTTAAGTATACATAATGAAATATTGCACGTATTGATTCGGGCATCAGGCTGAACATGCTGGAGCAATTAGAGGTATATTTCTCTGCAACAGTTTCAACAGGAATCTTTGATCCTTCAGAGTCAAATGAACAATAAGAAGTTATGTATTTTTTATGGAAACTAACTTCTCTTCATAAGTACATTAGAATTAATGAGAGGATTGGTAAATGAAAGGCCTTGCTGTGTCCTTACACAAGGTATGGCGACATTCACGAGCCTACTCACATTAGTATGAACAAACCCGAAACGGTATTGAAATCTAAGTTCTTTTTTATGGTCAGTTTCTCTCAATAGTTATGTTCCTTGCTCTTTCTCTATCTCTCTCTTTCCTCTTCCTCTCCCTCTCACACACACGTTTGGGGTTTCTCTTATCATCTCGTATTAGCACCACTCTCTCTCCCTCTCAATCAACATAGCATTTTTTCACTTTCACATACACTGTGAGAGGCATCGACTGGTTGTCGACTATAGACCGCATCATCGACAGGACGGCCAGCAGTCCTACTCCATAACATAACGTTCTGAAACGGCTGAAACGGAAACAAAACAAAACCCTAATGTTAAACTTTCCGACTACAACTACGACCAAGGCAAACTCTATCGTAGCCACATAAAGCAAACCAAGCAGGTAAAACTACGATATATGGAGAGAAAAAAAACAGGACCGTGGCAAAAATACACAAAAATTGTCATACTTACAAAACACCGGAATGAAATAAGAGTGGTCCATGCAAAAATATTAAATTTCAGAGGGAAAATATGACTTGAACTTATCACTAAATGCTGAATTTATGTTTTTGTCTTTAATATTTATTCATTAACTATTCGAAATTGTCTTTAATTGAGATTAAATGTCAGTAAAATGGATATCGTCGAAAATTCGTTTAACGTTGCAAATAAATAAAGTAGATTTAAAACAGTAGTTCAGTGGGAAAAAAATCAAACATGTCGGGTTTCACTAGGTGCTGCTAGAATTGTTGTTGAACTATTCGCTTGTCCAAATAAATAACTAAACAGTTTCATTAGATAGTCAGTAACTTCTATAGCGTTATTAGCGAACAGTTTTCCTCCGATAACCTACAATGTCAAACTCTTAAATGAAGTTGATTCAATAGAAATAATAACCTGCTGGATTGCCGACGTTAGCCACGTGGACAGTCATTGGGCGGAGTCCAGCTCTGGGAGTGTCTGTCCGTCGTACGATTGTTCCCCAATTTCTATGTTTCCGCTTTGTTGGTTTGGACGTGTTGCTTTGGTTTTCCATATTCTGGTCCGACGTCCGCCTCCGCCTAAGTACACAAAACATATTGCACATGAATACGTCACTTTCGTGATAATAATGAAACAGAAACAGGGGAATATTGTTAGCATAAAAGTTAGCATAAATGTTCAAAACTTTCCACATAATCGTATTACAATGTATATTGGCTACCATTTTACTCAATTTGTAGACTTTTGGATTATCTCTTTGATTAAACTGACAGGTGTAAACCTATCACTTATAGCAGCGTGTTCCTCATGTTACCGGTAAAGGATAAACATTTGTATTTTGTGTGGTTTAACTATTCTCCTCTGCTTTATAATTTTTGCAATGTTTATATCAGCCTCGTATTGTTTTGCGATGTCAAATATTTTTCTATTTCTGTAGCGACCTAGACATGTTCAAATGGAGTCGAATAACAGATAATTGTCAATAACATCCGAGATCGATCATACTGTGAACTAGAAAGGGATGGTTGACTCCTGTGTACCGTAATGGAGAAAAGATAGGTACATATGTTATGGGTGTGATCTTATGAGCAGACACGTTTAGCCCGATCGCAATCTTTCTCATCTCTTTCAACACTTGTGTCCAAGTGTGACTATCACCACTGAAAGAAAGACACATTGTTTAAATACAAATTATGTTTTAAAAGCATACGATTTGATAGGTAAGAAATTAAAGAAACCCGTATAATATTGACTGTATTAAATATTGGGAGATAAGCTACAAATGGACTAATAAAGTGTTTGAGATAAGATTCCAGGATGTCTTGTCTTATTGATTTAAGCAACTTCCATAGCTATTAACACAATGTTTCCTAAGTCATGCAAGGGTATTTGTACCAAGTCTCATAAGAAGTTGTAAGGGCCATTTGTTTACGACAAGGATATGTCTCCTCAAATAGTGTGCCCATATAACAACTCAGTCGATTGGGAAATCAATGAAGGAATACGTTTTTTTAATAGAACAGCAGACGAACATAAGAACACGTAAACATCTCAACCAATGCCAAACGCAATGATAAGTCGTCAATGGATCAGACATGACAGGGCAGAAATATTAAGATTTAGAAATTTATATCAGAGAGTTTGATATAAAGTCGAAAATGTCCCTTCCAATCAGAGGATATGTTTGCCATCTTTAATTTCGAATTGACCCAACACATGAAAAGTGTCATGAATCATATCCACATAATTTGGCCAAAACTGATCTGTTAGAACCGTTTTTGATCAAAACTCGGAAATGCATTGATAACCATTTTCCCGATTTTGCCCTGTTCGTCTATGTACACGAGGCAGCCGCGCCATCATTCATACATCACTGACTTTATATTTCTGTTATTCTCGTTTTCATACTGAGCTACGTCCCTCTGCCGCACGGGAACTTGCCAGGCGAGCGAAAAAACTAAGGTCCCTGAACAGATGTACTGGCCCTTCACACATGCGTACGATGTAGCATCGATAATTGTTGTTTGAACTCGTTTGAACTCTTCTCTCTATTTTTTCTCTTATCAGTTTGATCGAGTCATGTTAACAGTAAATGCACCTTGAGGTAACGTTTGATTTTAACTGACATGAACATGTAATACTGCTGTGTATAATAGAAAACCTTCATAGTGAGTTTGTTGTATCAAATATTTAATTGTACAGTACTAAATGTGAAAGAAACAGTGATAACAAACATTCACTGCCAAAATCCAAGATGGCCACATGTCGGCCATTTTGTTAAGCCAATCAGTCTCAAAAGTAAACATGCACCACTATGGACCAAGAGGAAACTGCATGTCCTATCTGAGACAAATCCTTCAAGTACTTCGTAAGAAATAGCGGTAACAAACATTGACTGTCAAAATCCAAGATGGGCAACTGTCAGCCATTTGGTTTTTTTTATCTATCAGTCTCGAAAGTAAACTATGGACCAAGGGGAACCTATAAAATTTGAGAAAAATGCCTCCAGTACTTTGGGAGAGATATCTAAAATCCAAGATGACTGCCTGTCGGCTACTAAGTACTTTGGTTTTGAGATCAGTTCCAAAATTCGATATGCACAACTAAGGACCGTGGGAAACCTTCATATGAAATTTTAAAAAGATCCTTCTAGAATTTTCTGAGAAATAGCGCTAACAAGAATTGTTCAAGGACGGAGGGAACGACCGACGACGGAGCAAAGACGAAGGGTGATTTAAATAGCCCACCATCATCAGATGGTCGACGTAGACTCATCTATGATGTTAAGAATGTTACCCGTATCTGTTGGCATGACATTGTTCGTACTCCTCTGAGTTAGTAATTACTACAGGAGTAAGCTTATTGTCGAACAACTGAATTTCGGAAACTAAGATGGCGACCGTTCCGTCTGATTGTCATCTTCTAAAGACGGCATTTGCTAGTGAAGGCGTAGTTTAGGGGCTATTTGTTGCATTGCGTGTTACAGTCAGAACTTGTTGAGTGTTATAATCGAATTACATAAACAAGAGAATCGTAAGATCTTCATAAGTTCTATGTAAGACTGATTTTTCCATTCATGCCTATTCTATTCGTTTATCTGTTGTCAACTATGAATATATATAGTGGTATCGTGTGAGGTAAACTGCTGAGATTTACAGTGTTCTTATAAAGTGATATTATTGTACTTTGTTTACTTCTTGTGAGATGATTAACTCGAACTCTCCAAATACAAGATGGCTACCTGGCAGCAATCTCGCTTTTCCTGCAAGTCCCAAAAAATGAAACATGCACAAATATGAACAAAGTAAACGTACACATGAAATGCGAGAAAGATCCGTCAAACAGTTCTTGTGAAATAGAAATAACAAATCTGAAATCCAAGATTACTGCCAAGCAGACATTTTGTTTTTCCCATCAGTCCAAAGAGGTAAACATCCTTAAGAAATTTGTAAAAGATCTATCAAGTATTTCTTGAGAAATAGCAATAACAAACCTTAACTATAAATATTGAAGATGACTGCCTTGCGGATGTCTGGGTTTTGTCCCAAAATGAAGCATGCCCAACATTGGGCAAAGGGCAATCTTCAGTTAAAATTTGCGACAAGACCCTGACATTACGTTTCAAAAATAGCGACAAAAAGATTTTTTAAGGACGGAGGGACCACAGACGTAGCCCTCTCCCCATCTGATGATGATGGGCTAGAAAACTGAGACGAAAACCTACTAAACGGTAATGTTTGTGTGTTCTGAAGCAATCGATGTAAAAAGGTCACAGCAGGACCATTGATGGAACATGAGGAAATGAAGCTCATGAATTTCACGATCTTGATTATATAATGTCAGAGTTATGTTTACTAGCAATTAAATGTCTCAAATAAATTATGATTTTACTAACTTTTAAATGATGTATAGTGTTTTGGTTTAAGCCTACGAAAAATAGCATTGTTTTCTTGAGGGAGTCGCATTCACAAAACCCAATATAGGAATACTTACTTCAGGATGCAGGAGAGGAGAACTATTAGCAGCACTACTCCGACAAGGGAAGTAACTCCCACGACGACCACCCAGAACATCCCGAAGGTGACGGTCTGCTCGTCCTTCTGTAACTCACAGCTGTAACCATCCCAGCCACTGATGCAGCCATATCGACAGGTCCCGTTTATTGAACACAAGTTATCGTAGCAATTCATACTGCAGTTCTGAGTACAAAAGTTTCCCATTTTACCTTTCTCGCATCGCAGGCATTCGCCATTTGTAAAGGTACATGGGCCGACGCACTCCTGTGGACACAATTTAGTGCAATTTAGTCCGAATGTCCCGTTCGTACAGACACGGCACACACCCCACTGTCGATCACAAAGCGTACAGTTGTCTCCGCAAGTCACGTCACAATCAGCTCCGTAAAAACCAGGTGCACAATTGTGACACCGACCGGAGGTGGTGTCACAACCACCCTTGTCACAGGGGCCTCGGCACTCGCATTTCGACCCTGTCCAACCTGCTTGACATGCTAAACAGTCACCTGTTGTTTTGTTACATATGGAAGCATCACAATTTATAGGGCATTCAGAAAGACAATACTTGTCATATAATCCAGTTTGGCATGTATAACATCGTCCAGTGACTTTGTCACATCCAGTTCCGCCACAGTGACCGGTACACTCACAGGTCTCTCCGTACCAGTGCTTCAGGCAGCCGTAACATTGGCCGCTGCGTCTACCACATCCGGACTCATTGCAGCTCCGTGGACATGATTGGTCACAAAGTTTCCCGAACCATTTAGGTGCACACTCCGAACATATCCCCGTTGTTTTGTTACATTCGTCGTTGACCTGACAGTGACCTCGACACTTACATCGAGGACCATACCATCCATTTTCACACGTATGACATCGTCCTTTACGTTTGCAGTTATCCTCTTTACAATGCTTCGGGCAAGGTTTTGTACAAAGAGCTCCCCTCCATCCGTCCTCACATACATGACACACACCTGTAGAATTACAACCATCCTCACCACAGTGGCCAGAACAGTTACACGTCGGCCCGAACCAGCCATCGGCACAATTGCATTGTTGTGGATTTAGACGGTTACATCCTCTTTCACCACAAACCCCTGGACATGTAGCCAAACATTTCTGGCCATGGTACCCCGCCTCACAAGTACGACACAAACCATCTTGATCACATCCCGCTTCATCACATTTTCCAGTACATTCGCACTCGGGGCCGTACCATCCCGGCTTACACGCGAAACATATTCCCGTTTGCTGATCGCACGAGCTGCCCGCACAGTTCCGGGGACATTTGGTGGTACAAGTTGAGTCGTACCAACCTTTGGCACATTTATGACAACGACCCTCTGGTGAGCAGGTGCCATTTTCACAGTGACCCATGCAATCACACTTATCCCCGTACCAGCCCATGGTACAGTTCCGACAGTTTCCGCTATTCCGGGCACACGTTGGACGCTGACAGTGCTGAGGACAGAGTTGTGAACAATGGTCTCCGAAGTAACGATCTCGACAAACCAAGCATCTTCCTTCTGTGTTACACCCATAAATGTCACAGTAGCCGTGACATTCACACCTCGCTCCTGACTTGCCAGGTTTGCAAGATGCACAGGTTCCATTGAGCTGATCACAGAGGCCATTACAGTGCTCAGAGCATCGGGAAGAGCAGTCCATCATGTAAAACCCCTCGTGACATGCATCACACGCTCCGGTCTGTCGGCCACACGTATCAACGCAATTCGTGGGACAGGGGACGGTACAGTCATCTCCGAACCAACCGGCAGCACATTCTTTGCAACTGTATCAAAGAAGAATATTAATTATTATGAGTTTTATTGAAAGCATGCGTCTGGGCTAGTCCCTTATATCTGTAATTACATCGAACGCAGACTATAATTCAATCATCTTACTGCTCTCGCATATAGACTAGTGCCATCACAACAGGAATATACAACAAGAGGCCCAGAGGGCCTGTATCGCTCACCTGTTTCTTTTGTTACATGCAACTGACATATAGGTAACTTAATACCAAATTTGGTAACTAGAACACAAGACATTTTAACATCTCTTAAACTGTTCTGAAGATATTGTTTTTTGAAACTTAAAATTCTAATTTTAAAGCTTTTAACCCATATTGAACTTTGAATCCCGATTTGCACTTCAAGTTGACCTTTGACCTCATTACTGTAATGAAGAAAACAATTCACACAGCTGGTCTACATAACATACCTAAGTATCATGACTAGTCCAAATGGTTCTTAAAAATAAGATATTGTTGTTTGAAGTTTTTAACATATTTAACCACTGTGACCTTGAAAGTAGGTCAAGGTCATTTTAATGAGGAATTTTTTAGCAATATCCCAGGTACCTACTGGCCAAATCTTATGACCCTGGGCCTAATGGAACTTGAGAAGAAGATTGTTAAAGCTTTTAACCAAAGTTGACATTTGACCCCCGACTAGCATTTAAAGTTCACCTTTGACCTCATTACTGTAATTGAGAAAAATATTCGCGCTGCTGATCTACATAACATACCAAAGTATCATGACTCTAGTTCAAATGGTTCTTAGGATATTGTTGTTTGAAATTTTTAACATATTTGACCGCTGTGACCTTGAAAGTAGGTCAGGGTCATTTTAATGAGAAAACTGTATAGCACTTCATCCCAGGTACCTACTGACCAAATATCATGACCCTAGGTCCTACAGTTCTTCAGAAGAAGTCGTTCAAAAGAAAATGTTGACGGACGGACGACGGAAGCCGGACGACCGACGCCGCAGTACGGCATAGCTAAAAACAAAAGTTGGTGAATTGCACAGATGTTTGTATTTCGGTATCTATAGTTTCTTAATCAAACAAAAAATATCAATTTCATAAGATCACTTACGTTCCTGTTGAGCTACATCCCGAGTCTCTGCAGTGCCCCTTGCATAAGCACTGGTCACCAAATCGGTCCAGCTTACATCCCTTAGTACAAATCCCCGTCACCTGGTCACACTCATCATCAAGACAGTGCAAAGGACAAGTCTCCTCACACGTGAGACCATAGTAACCTGGAGAACAGCTCTCACATTCACCGGCTGACTGAATGCAGGAAAGATTGTTGCAGTTTTTAGGACATGACGATTCGCATCTTTCGCCAAAATATCCGTTTTGACATCCGGCACATAAACCATGATCGCGAGCACATGACGATTTGTCACAGTTAACCGGACATACTTGTCTACATTTCTGTCCGTAAAATCGTGAAGCACAATCGTTACAAGTTCCGTCTGGTGCACAGCCGGATTGAGCACATTCCCCCGTACAAGAACATGTTTGTCCATAATATCCTTTTTTACAGTGACGGCATTGTCCAGTCAGCATGTTGCAGCCATTTTCACCACAGTTTGGAGGACAAGATGAATTGCAATACATTCCATGCCATCCTGATTGACACCCTTCGCAGTACTTGGTAACTTTATCGCAACCGGCAGTATCACAGAGTCCAACACATTCACACTTATCACCGTACCAATCCGACTCACACCCATCGAGACACTCTCCTGTTAAGCGGTCGCATGCGAGCACGAGACAGTGTGCCGAACACCTGATATCACACCCGTCGCCATAGAAACCTGTCTGACATGACACACACTTCGATTCGGGGCATTCGTCGTCGTTCATACAGTTACCTCTACAGGTGCACGTAACTCCAGTGTACCCTTCCTGGCAAGAAAGGCATGCGCCGTCAAGTCTTCCGCATCCGGATTCCTGACAGCTCTCCGAGCAAACTTGCTGACACCGCATGCCATACCGTCCCTCGGGGCATTGGACACACGTGCCATTATCACGAAAACAGCCCTGTGTGTCACAGTCCTGGGGACAGTCCTCGTCACACGACCGACCAAAAAAGCCTACAGGACAAGGAAGACATTTTCCAGTATCCTGTTCACAAGTATTGTTGAAGCAGTTGGAACTACATGTCTGTGTACACTTGGGTCCAAACCACCCTGGTTTACAATGCTGGCATACTCCCGTGACCCGATCACATCCCACGCAGCCTGTGGAACACGACTCCGTACATTTAGTTCCAAATTGACCTGGTCGGCAGTCTAAACAATCGCGAGTTGTTATGTTACATCCTCTTTCGTCACATCCGGGTATTTCTTCGCTACACTCACAGTTACCTCCGTACCAACCGTCATCACATCCATCTTCACATCGTCCACCAAGTTCTCCATCACAGTCACATCTGCGAATGTCCTGGCCGAAAAAAGTGTCGTACGTGGTAACGCAGTGTTCCCCACATTGATTGGTGCAGGGTTTCCCGCACCACCCAGGCTTGCACCCGTCTTCACATTCAGCCGTGATGAAGCTACAGTTTTGTATGTGTCTGTCCCCTGTATATCGAGAATTACACCCAGCACTGCATCTTTGGTCGCACGTAGGTCCGTGGTGTTCACTTATACAACCGAATTGGCACACCCCTGTGTATCTGTCGCAGGCCTTTCCGTAATTTTCATCTTGTATACCTCCCTTACACCCGTAGTTACAATCTATGTCACATGTTAGACCTTTCTGTCCGGGGTCACACGACTCATTGCAAGCGCCAGTTAATCTATCACATAATCTCATGGAGGTAGATGTGGATCCAGTTTTGAAGGATGATAAAGGACATGATGAAGAACAACGCTTGTTACAGTCCTGGCCGTACCAATGGGCGGCACAATCATAGCACCTGTCGTCTGCGTCACAGCCCTGGTCGGAACAATGGCCGTGGCAAGCTGCAACGAATCATTGAGTGTGCTTAGTGAAATAGCGACGAATGCAAGGTAACAGCATCACCATTTGTATTAAGCAATACATAATGTACTTACATATAAACGGCTATTACATAACGGTGAAATATATAGAAATTGCCAGGACTGTACAATGACGAGAAACACACACGTATTGCACAAAATGTATTATGATTAAGACTGATTTTTTTGTCATCATGATTATGAAACAACAAAAATATTAGAGGCGACTAGATCATCGAATCACCTAACATATAGACAAGACCATGATTTCGCAATGACGAAATCACGCGACAACAACAATCACATACGATAAGAACTTTGCAATAAGGGCAAATATATAAGTTTTGAATGTGTGAATGACCGTAACTTGTTCACAACGACGAAACGACTCATAACAAACTATACAAATCTGCTTGATACTCAACAGTCTGTATAGGAGACATGTGTATATCATTCTAGTAATTTCAATTTCTGATTATAAATTTCACTTCACCTGTATATTTCTAATTCTGCATATTTTTGTGTTTTATTTTTAAGTTTTGAACGTCGTTTGAATTTCTATGAAAGTTTAGAAAGTTGATAAACATGTTCTATTTAGTTTAAACCAATTTTATTGCCACAAAAGACAAATGGATTGGACAAAAGTTATTGCAACTTACTTACGTCCTTTCCGTAACAGAAAATATATATACAAAATTAATGAGTCACGTAATAACCTAATACAAATTCATATATGTATATATATATATATAAGATATTAAAGATGGGTAACAGCAAAAGAGGTAATGATAGGATTAGGGACACCAACGTATAGTTTTTAAATATGTATTCGGAGAGTTTACTTGAGATCGCGTGTGTGATTTTCCCAATCGAGTCGGCGTAAGTAGTATAACTAATCTATACACACATGTCCTTCTGCTTTTCTAAAGTTCAATCACATTCCGTGCCGCATTTGCCTTTCTCCTGTGTCACTCCAAGTCCTTCTGTGAATTCCTGCCTTACATACTAAGCCGACTATATTAGGAAAACCGAACACGCACTCTTTGTCATATGGAAACGGTTATGATATTGATGGACGCTAAGATTGAAGTTAGTACACAGAGATCGTTGGTGTTGGAAAAAGGGAGAGGGGCTGGAATAAGAGAGGAGGTGGAGGGGAGAGACAGATGAGAATAGTCGAAATAGGTATCCTGGTTATTCAATAAGACTATTGGGTATTACATGTTAAACCGTTTGGAGCTTAAAATGAACAGTTGTACAGACCTACAAATTTGAATGTTTAGATTGTAGTCAAGGTTTGCATCTCCGAAGAGAAGGTGTTCAACAGTGATCTCGTTATACCAATCGAGGGATTGGAGCATTATATTACGGGATTGGTCAAATTTTTTACAATTTAGTAAGAAATGGGAAGAGTCTTCCGAGTCATTTCCGCAGTCGCAAGTAGAGTTGTCTCGAAGGTGGGCTTTAAAAAGGTCGTAATTTAAAGAGCTACTGCGGTTTCGTAATTGGCAATGTATAACATTTACTTTTCTGGACCCATATTCAAGAAAACATTTAATATAAGAAGGGGTAGTGACTTGGGGCTGAATAAGAGATTTAAATTGTTTAATGGATGCTGATGACTTTGTTTCTATAGATAGATTGTTCCAGTAGTCTGAAGTACTTGGTATGAAGGATGATTTTGTGATTTGCAGTCTATAGTATGGGTTCTGAAAGTTATTCCTGTTTCTAAGATTATAGTTAGAGAAGTTTGACACAATAGGTGGTAGAAGAGATTTAAGAAATGAGGGAGCATTATCATGATAAATATTATAAAACATGGATAATTTTCTAATCCTGCGTCTATCTATCAATGATTTCCATCCGAGCTCTCTGTAAATAAATTCTTTTTTTGTATAAATAGGTAATCCAGTTATTATTCGACCTGCTTCATACTGCATGTTCTCTAATTTATTCGAAAATGTGATATTACAATTGTCCCATACTTCGCAGGCATATTCAAATAGTGGTCTTATAAAAACAAGGTATATTTTTTCCAAGTTTTTTCTATTTAGGATGTATTTTAATTTCCTTAAAGTTGCAATGTACTTTGTAGTGTTTGTTAGTATATGTTCGATGTGAGAGTTCCATGTGCCGTTGTTACTAATAATGACTCCTAGGTGTTTGTGGTTTTTAACAATAGGGATAGGTGTGTTGTCGAAAAGAAATTGTGGGTTAGAAGGTATATTTGTGTTGGAAATTAAGAGAATTTCGGTTTTATTTGGGTTGAAATTCATTAACCATTTATTTGACCAAAGGTTTAATTGTTCCATGTCGTAGTTTATAACTTGTTTTATATCGTGTAAATTTTTCGAAGAGTGTGCTAATGCGGTGTCGTCAGCAAAAAGTCTAGTCATTGATAGTAATGTATTTGAAATATCGTTGATGTATACAAGAAAAAGAAGTGGCCCTAACACTGAACCTTGAGGAACTCCGGCTTTGATAGATACTTCAGAAGATATAGCATTTTTTAGTACCACTGACTGGCGTCTGTTACTTAAGTAGTTTTTAATCCAATCTAAAAGTTTGCCTTTTATCCCGTATTTTTCTAATTTAATTAATAGACCTTTGTGCCAGACTCGGTCAAAAGCTTTAGAAAAGTCACAAAAAACAAGAGCAGTATATTCACGATTCTCCAGTGCTGTAAGTATGCTATGATAGAGTTCGATGAGTTGGTGAGTTGTAGAGTGATTTGGTAAGAAGCCAGACTGTAAAGTATATAGAAGTTTGTTGCTGAAGAGATAGTTATAGATGAGCTTATGAATTATTCGTTCGAAAAGTTTGCCAATGCAGCTAAGTAAGGAAATGGGTCTGTAGTTATTTGCCAATTCAGATTCCCCCTTTTTGAAAATAGGTGTCACATGGGCAAGTTTCCATGAATCAGGAAATACAGAAGTACGAAAGGATTCGTTGAATAGAAGTGTGAGGGGTGCAGATATTTCATTGGATACCATTTTTAACATTTTATGACTGATGCCGTCAGGACCAGCAGCTTTATTAGTGTCTAAAATATTGATTATATCTAAAACCTCTTGTTCTGTTATTACAATTTCAGTAAGGGACGCGTCTGTTTGGTTGTCAAAATAGGGTGTATCGTCGTTATGGTCATCAAGGTCAGAAACAGATTTAAAGAAGTTATTTAGAATATTTGATTTGTCATAGTGGTCTGTGGTTAAGCGGTTATTTGTAGGGTTTAGTAAGGGAGTTATATCGGTAGAAATGTTACCTTTTAAAGGCATACGCATTAATTTCCAGTATGCTTTGGGATTAGCTGAACTATCATTGATAAGTCCATCTACATTTGTATAAAAAAGTGCTCTTGCATGTTTCAGCATATTATTTACTTTATTTCGTGCACGTTTAAATTTAGCTTCAGACAATGGGGTTTTAACTCTGATAAAATGTTTCCTTAACCTGTTTCTACGTTTAATTTCTTTTCTTATATCTCCGTTCATCCATGGTTTGTCGTTTTTATTAACAGTAACAATTTTTTTAGGAATATGCTTTTCTAAAATAGAAATTATTTTGTCAGTGAACAGTTTACATTTTTCGCTTACATTATCCGCATGAGAAAACAAATCTATCCAATTTACCTGTCCTACCTCTGTTTTAAGATTTAAGATATCTGCTCTGTTGTATAACCATATTTTCCTCTTAAAAGACTTTGGTTTTGGTAGACATGACGACAATGACACAATTATAGCTCTGTGGTCACTTATAGCTTCTAAAACTGGTACAACAATGGATGATTCGGAGGATATAGTATCACTGATGTAAAACGGGTCT